CACATCTCTGTTTTTGTGTGTTTGAGTACTTACACAAACGTTATTACACACACCTGTGGAAAAGTATGTATTAATTGCTCGATCTATCAGGACAGTCTGTTTGTGCAGCTCTCAGACCTAGGACTCTGGCAGCTTCATACCTGCCTTAGAGTAATATCTCCCAACAGCCGCGCTCAAAAGAAGCTCAATCTAGGAGTATTGTCAGGACTCTAGATTTGGAAATACTCTGGTCAGTAAGTGTACAGTGCACGTGCCTTGGGAAATGTCATTTTGGGATTTCTTTAAAGTCAAGGTGAGATGCTCACTTGCCGTAGCTGAGCATCTGCAGTAGATAAAGGATGCTCATGTATTCCACGGGCCTTCAGTGACTGACATCCTACCAAGCACCTGGGTGTCCTCTGAAAGTTGTGTCCTGCAGAACTTTCCTACCATGTCTTTTCCACCAAGGCTGGCTGAGATGACAGCAAATACTGAATATGTTATTTGGGGATTTTTGAATGCAAGACTTTATAAACGAGACAAGTAACAAACCCTCTTGTTGAGGAAGATTGTTCCCAGTAATGTATTTCCTCTGAGATTCTGGAAGTTTTGTTCAAAATGCAGCTGGCCGTATTGATTGTAGGGAATGGTTGAATCCCCAGCCGTGAGGCGCAAGAAGAGGCGCTGGATGCTAAGGTGGAAAGCGGAGCTTGTGTGTGCCAGGAGGCAGGCGTGGTGAGGTGCGCTTTGGAGCCTGCTGTTGTTGGCGCTGGGCTCGGGAGGCCCCTGAACATGGCGCTGTGTGCTGCGTGTCCCAGCCCCAACAGATTCCCGTGTGGAAGAAGGGAGAGGATGAAGGAGGCCGAGGGCCCTTTTCTCGGGGCCGGCTCCTGTGTGGCCTCTTGCTTGCCGGAGAGAAGGGCTGCCCGCTGGGCACAGGGAGCGCCTTCTAGCTGCCGTCCCGTGCCCTGTCCTCCAGCCCCCTCCTCATGCTATGTGGAACGCCATTGCCAGCAGTGCGGCTGCCATTTTAGAACCTTCGCCGCATCACAGCCGTCACCTTGGTCACCGCTGCCCCGGCCAACGCACTCGCCTCTGTGAGCTCTGTCAGCCATGGCAGGAGCAAAGAGAGCGAGGGGCGAAGCTTGCCCTATTTTAAATGGGAAGAGGGAGCTTGGCTTCCCAGAGGTGAAGAGGAGGAGGAGGGCCGCCTTGACCATCAAGCGGAGGAGGAAGGAGAAGAGAGTCCGTTTCCATCGCGCCTGGACCAGCGCTGTGACCACCTCCGTGGAGCCCATGGAGGTGGATCCACCTCTGGATGAGCCCATGGAGGTGGATCCACCTCCAGAAGAGCCCATGGAGGTGGATCCGCCTGCGGCTCAGCTGGCCTGGCACCACACCACCGTGCCAGGCCCCGCATCGGCGCCGTCCCTCCACCGCCGCTGGTCCAGGCGCTCGGCTCCCTACCCGCTGCGCGGCCCCCGCCCCCAGCATTAGCTGGGTGGCATGAGTTTCCATCTGCTCCTCCTCTGAGCCTCCTGTGGAGCCAAGTTCTCCTCTTCCCATTTAAATGCTGCGGGAGTTATAGTTTAGTTGTTGTTTTTGGTGTTGATTTTAGTGTTTAGTTTTAGTGTTAGGAGTAGATTATTGTTCGTATTTTAGAGTTAGGTATAGGTTACTTTTAGCATTTTAGTGTTAGGCATAGGTTACTTGTAGTCTTTTAGTGTTAGGCATAGGTTCCTGTTCTTATGTTAGAGTTAGGCATAGGTTACTTGTAGTCTTTTAGGCATAGGTTCCTGTTCATACTTTACAGTTAGGGGTAGATTGCTCCTATCAACTGGAAGTGAGCAGTGCTCACTCGGTAAGCAAACGTCTGATTTATCATCCGAAGACATGAGTGTGACTGCCATGAGAATGGAGGTCTGATGGCATCTCCAATTAATTGAATTTCCATCTTGTTACTTTTCCGTTGCAGACTGTCGATGAAGAGAGTCTCAGTGTCCGTGAAATTAATTTGGGACTCAGAAGAGCAATATCTAATTGTGTACAAATGTCCTGCATGGCCATTGCAAGGTAGGTGTGCCTTACTGTAAGCGTGTGCTGAAACACATCCACTGCCACCCAGCAAAGGAGAAGCTTCATATTGCTGACTGCATCTCTCTTGAATTTCCCTGTAACTTTAGCCCACGTTTGCCTAACACTTTGCAAAGCATGGGGAAACATTTCCCATCTTATTTAAACTGAGTTCAAGGAGAAATGGTGATGCTCCTCTTTGGCACGCCCTGCTAGACTTGTTTTGATCCCACTACTTGTTGCTTTGGGGAGGTTTCGGGAGGTCCATCCTGAGCTGTCCTCTCTACAGACCCTCTACCATTATGGCTCTTCTAGCGGGAGAAGATTAATCAGGTTTTAAGGGTATTTCTTTTCACAGTATAGTTACACTTTTTTTTTTTTTTTCTCCTTCCCCTGGAGAAATAAAAGTAGCAAAGCTGCTTTTTGTCCACAGTGTGCATCCGTGCCCCTGGCAAAGACAACTGAGGAAGGGAGTGAGGTCTATTCACTTCCTGAGGTGACAGTGCAAGCAGCATGCAGAAGTGAACTTGGGCATCCATAAACAGGACTGTGTGTTTGTGTAGCTGTGTTTCCTAGTACAGCACTGTTGTCTTGACCTGTTTGTCCCATAGAGATAAAATATGGGGAGAAATGACAGAGTTCACAGGGAATGGAAAGGCCTGCAATGAAGTCACAAATGGCAGGTGGTACAGATCGTATTTTCAGTTACGCTTTATTCTGTCTTTTATTTCGTGGGAGTGAGAGTTTAAATCAGAGGGTGGCATTGTAGATGAGATAGGAGATGGGGATTTCTGAAAGGGAACGTCTACGTCACTGCAAAAATATAATTGGTATTCTCAGAGCCATGGGCTGGTTAAGATTGGGACTGGCCTTTACAGATCCTCTGGTCTGAGCCCCTGCTTAAAAGAGGACCAACTTCAAAAGGCTGCTCAGGTTGCTCTGCACCATGTTCTGTGAGGTTTTACATATCCCCTGCATTGGGTATTTCACTCTGCAGCCTGCTGGAGAGCTTAACTGTACACCTAGTGATTCTTTTTTTTTTAAGTGGAACTGGAATTAGTTTTGCTGCAACTAGTGGTTGTTGCCTCTCATCGTTGTTGCTGTACTTATCTGAGAAAAGTTGGATGCTGCCTCCTTTGTAATTACCATTGGCTTGGTAAAAGGTACAGTTAGGATCCCTTCCTTTAACATTCTCTTCTCCAGGCTGAACAAATTCACCTCCCTCATCTGTTCAGCTGTCTCAGTAGCCCACTTGACTCACCCTGATTTGCTGATACCCTTCTTGCACTCTGAGGGAACGCGATCCCAAGGTGGGACTGTGTTTCAGTTATGGTTAATACTTTCTATTAACTATCTTCTCTGTTGACATCGGATGCTCAGCCTGTGGCCGTAATTGTTACAGTGGCTCTCATTCAAATGTTGGGAACATCAGGGCGTACCTGAAGCCTTCTTGGAAGAGCCTGTTTCCTGAGCACACTGTACCCAGCACATCCTGTCCCATTCATTTGGCTCTCTGTGACAGCAATACCGCTAATTGCCTTTTTTCCCATTGCTGAACTGCCCGGATCATCCTGGAGGTGCTGCATTTGTTTTCTGCTTTGAACAACTGCATGCACTTCTATTGATTTAACAAAGGAACCAGGAACATCTAGGACAAGCAGGAGTGGAAAGCCCTCAATTTTTCTTTTCTATGAATAATTTAGTGCCAAGTTAACTGAAACACTTGAAAAAGATTTTTGATGCCTAGCTTCATTTGGCCAACCCTCTATACCCAAACATGTTCTCCATCACTGTCACCATCCAACACTTCATCTTGTCCCACTCACAGGAAAGGCCTTGTGGAAATAAAAGGGGAAGGGAGTAGAAAAGCAGATTATTGTTGCCATTATGCATGCCTGTGTGTGCACATGTGCTCTTTAAACTTACATTAAGGAAGAAAATGGATTCTGTAAGAAAAGGAAGAATGAAACCCAAGCCATATTAACCTTCCAAACTGTATACTCCTTTCAGGGATACAGGCTGGACTCTGTCACACCGTAAAGCACAGTCCACATTCCAGCTCCCTTCTCTGGAGCAAGTGTTTTTATCAGAGTAGTATATTCTCATCCACTATGCTCTTAGCAGCAGGATGAGGGGGACCTCCTTGCCTGGCGGTGGTTTCTGCAGCTATTTCTGTGGGAAGGCCCTCCTCCATCTGGTGCTTGGCAGCAAGGAGAACTTTCCTCTCAGATGTTTTCCCTCTTTTTCTTGCCCTGTTTAAGGTATACCCTTTGGAAGTCTGCAGCTTCCAAGATTTATTTTTGCACGGGGCACATACTTTGTGTTACGTGGTCTGGCTTTCTTTTCTTTGAGCAGAATGCTGCCCCGTGCCCTGCTTATCCTGGCAGGGGAAGAAGAATGCTGTTTGCTTTAACATTACCTTCAGTCTCAGTATGCAGCAGGTCAAAAGATGTGACAAGTACACATGCTAATCCCTTTCCCTTTCAGTTAATAGAATAACACAGATGGGAAAGTTTACATTGGGGTCTGATGCTTGCTCCAAGCTAAAGTTAAGAGAGAGACTTCCTACTCTGCACTGAAAAGCTCCTGTCATCCTAAACCCTGCTTGCTCTGCTAAGAATTTTCCCCTTCCCCTTTACCCTCCTTTGGAGAGCGGTAGCTAGAACTGACTAACATACTGAAAGCTATTGTAGGATGAAACATTCCCAAGAATCAGGGATGTTCAAGTAAATACAAGCCAACAATTTCCATTGAAATACCACCGTTTATTTTGAAATGGTGACTTTTTAACTTCTGACATTCCTCAGCATTGAAACATTGCATAGGAAAATTGCCACTAAAATAACGTATTTTCTTAGGAAACATATTACGAGTTTTTTTTATGTATAATTGAACTATTTATGTTTCATTTGATTTTCTGTTTCTTTGTAACCTCCAGAGATGTCCTCTGATATGACGTATCTCATTGGTAACTCTTGCATACCTGAAGATTTTCCGATTGCATGATTCACCTCAGGACACAGAGAGGAATAAGACCTGGGACTGCACCTCTGATGTGATGAGCTGCAGCACGACCTGGAAGGTCGATCCATTGCCCACCAAAAATCACCTTCTGCTCACTAGGACATCAAACCTCACAGCATCCTCATATGATGAGAACCTACTGCTGGATCCCCACCTGGGACCAAGGTTTGAATTTACCTGGAACTCCTTAAATTTAAGATTTTGAGGGTGTCTCCAAGGAGACATTTAAGTTATTTTACTACCTACAATCTATTCTGATAGGTATGGGCATCAGAATACATATTTAAACAGAGAAACTGTCTTCTACAATTGTTTATTCCTTTTAAAAATCCTGATTTTTAAAACTGAAGCTATGTGCTAATGTGAAAATAAGATTTGAAATGCGATTAAAATGTTCAGTGTTTTACTGACAAAGACACATATTTGCGCTGAACTTGCTAGCAATGAAAATATTGATGTTAGCTTCTAATAGGAACTGTGCCTATAAGGTTTGCATAACCACAGATGTATTGCTCATGGGAAGCACTCCACTAGCGACCTGCTTTGTGATTACAGAGCTACTGCTTGTGTTTGAGAATGACTGCCTATCTTTTTCATCTCGTTTCTTTCAAAATGTGCCGTTTTGGTGCCTTTTTCACATTGCTTTAGATATTTCTCTCTGATTTCAGAGCAGAGGGGGTTGTACCTCTTTCAGCCTGCTGCCTATTGATAACATTGATGTTTGTTTTACAAATTAAATTTTGGCTTGTGTTTGCTTTGGTCTAATACAAGCTCTGGTATAGATGGGTCTAATTAACAGGAAAACTACAGCTGAACCCCTATGAAAAGGCAGTATAAAAGGACCAGGAATAAATACTAGCAGTGATTTGACACATTAGGATTACTTGGCTTGGAAACACACAGTGTAAGGGGAGAAGCAAAGCTGGGGGTCCTGTTGCAGCCATACAACAAAGGACCCGTACTGCTCTCTAACTCTGACCTGACAACTGTGTGGCTGAAGCCTGAAGCTTCAGATCCGAGTGAAGCATTCATCTCGATCAGTGGAGAGATGCCTCCCCACACTGAGCAGCTCGGACTAGAGATTGACATTGAGGTGACTAGCATGAGTTGAGAGAGGTCCTGCCATCAGTTGAGAGAGGTCCTGCCATCAGAGCTGGTACACAGGGTGACATGGATACACAGGCCAAGATTCACAACTACCCATTTTGGCCAATTTTTGGAGGTTTCAGAGTTGGAAGGCAGACTTTCAGTTCTTTCTCTCTGACTGACATGAATGCTTCCAGGGGAGCTGAGTGTTCCACAAAAGCTCTGAGCAAACATCTGGAGATGCTTGTTTTCCCCTCCTTTGCAGACAAATTTCAAACAGCAACAACATTTTGACAATCACTGCAGTAATTAAATGTGGGCCAGGTGTGTCAGGTCCTGGTTGCTACACCGGCATCAACGTTCACATTGGTCGCAGTGGAAGTTCAGGCTCCTTTTGTATGAGGCAAGGAACCCAAATACTTCTGTCTGCCTGACCTTTACCCTCCATTGCAATTTCATTGCTGACTTCTTTGCTAAGAGCATTAACAAGGGGGAACAATTAGTGCCCATCACAAGGAAAGCTTTTGTAACATGGGTGACTGCCCTCAAGAAACACTGTTGAGACCACCAACTGTTTTATTTGTTTTTGTTCCAGTTTTTGCTGATTGAGAAGCTCATGAGATACATCTAATGTCCCTGGAGGTCCTCAGGGAAGCAGTGGTCAGACAATCCTTTCCTAGCCTGCTTTGGGCAACGCTGGTGGTACTGCTGGCACTGCATGTGGGCTGCTGTGCTGGTAGGTCTTGTGGAGCAGGGAGGTTTTTACGTAGGTTTTTAAAGTGTGTCCCAGTGGGGTCTGAATCAATGCAGCAGGCAGCTAATGTCAGCCACCAAACTCTTGTTATTAAGTAGTAAACACTTTATTCATGACAGATTTTGTACAAGTGACCTAGTGGCAAACAGCTCTGCGCACTGAGCTACAGGTTTTGGAGGGTGGACAAAAATCTCCCATATGGGGATGGAGCTTAAGAATCAGTTTCAGATCTATACCTGCCTACAGACCTTTGTTTTGAAATACCAGGTGCCTTTGTATCTCTCTGCATGAAGTTACGATCACAGGCATCTCCCAGGGCAGTATGCAGCGTGCAAACTGCATCAGCCTTTGGCTAAATTGAGCAGGAAATTCGGTACCTCTTGGAATCACACTCCTCCCTGCTTCCTCCAGTTTGAGGGAGGCCACTTTTTTGCTGCTGGCCATTAAACCTCAGGAGGCCTCTTTGCCTTCCCTTCTCCTACCCCACACAGCCTAAGCTGCTCTTGCCAGCAAGCTGAGCTGAGGTTGGCCTTGCTTCCACCCCCTTCATTCCACTCTCTGCTTGGAGGAGAATAGTGGTGAATGGATTAAACTCTCCCCTTCCTCTGTGGCCAGTCTATCTGTCCTTCCTGTGTATGGGAACACAGACTGAGTCACACAGTCTTGTAGTGACAGACAGAGACACAAAGCCTGCACTTTAACTGGACTTTGCATCCAAGTATCTCAAAGAACTTCAAAAGTTACAGTTCTGCAGTGTAAATCAAATATACCAGTACCTCCAGACCATCAGTCTATATTTAGTACTTGCCTCTACTGACATTATTTGGATTATTTCCACCAAGTACAGCTGAGAGCTGGATGATCTGAGAGATCATCTAATGTTTCTTTGTCAACTTTATTTTCATATATGAAAGATCTTTCTTCCTAATGCAGATACAGCGCAGACTTGTAACCTCACAAGCTAAAAACAGTTAGAACATCATGTCCATAACCAAAAACTCTGTCTTATAAAAACATCCATTCTACCCAGAAGATGTATTTTCATAATGAGGATCAGGCACAGCATGAATGCCAGTGCATTTAAAGCATATAATTAAATATGTGTGTGTGTGTGTATTATAAAATTGCTTGGGAGAACAAGCCGGAAGATAAATATCCTATGAGTTATTTGTATGTTAAGATAACCTATGTTTGTTCTCAACTCAGAGATCACATGAATGATCAAAACAAATTTATAACAAAACACTCAAAATATAGATTATTTTTTGTGTAAGAGAATGAAACTTTTCCTTTGCCGTGATGCTTATAGAAGGGGTTGTCAGTGCTGGGGAGCATGATGTTCTGAGATTACTGCTTCCCATGATTGTCTCACAGATCTCTCTTATTTCTTGCTTGTTTCTTTCTCTCTCTCTCTTGCCCTGCATTTAGGTACTGAGCTCCTTGGGCAGAGCGTGATTCAGCCTTCAGTATTACAGCAGTCATCATTGCAAAGGAGGGGTCTGGGACCAAACAGTGATGGTCACAGATACTGAACGTAAGTCACAAAGCAAGCTCCACAGCTGAGTTTGGATTTAAATACACAACTGCATAAAAGGTTTACGAGAAAGCACAGATTTTGTATAGTCACATTTAGTTCCTCTTCTTTTCCTGATGAATGACAGCCATGCATTCCAGGAAAGAGGTGACCACATACATCAAACTGAGTTTCCTCCTGGTGAAACCCTCGTGAGCACTCTGTCATCCCCAGAGATGGCAGGGAACACTGGGTCCTGGGCTCATATTTCATGTGAATTTTGCTGTGAATCATATCTCCTCTTGACACCAGAGCATCTCATCTCATTGCTGTCTTTCTGAGGAGTCAGTTGACTCATCACTCCATCACACCAAGGAGGTTTTTTGCCTTGGTGCACTTCTCTTTCCCTTCATCTGGTATCAGTCCTGCCTTATTCCTTAGCAGCACTGTGATGCATATGGAACGTGTGCATTTCATTGCCATTTGCAGAGCCCATCTGCCGTTTGAACACAATTCTTGGTGGAAGGGGAGGAAGAGGAAGAGTAGAGTGGCACTATACCTGGAAGGGCAGCAGCAGATGGAAAATTTCTTTGAATTCAAGGCTGTTTTCAGGCAGCCTTAACTCTACCTGTGTTCTCGTGCCTAATGTTATCCACAACATATTCTGGACCTTCAGGGTTGCCAAACCAATAGGAAACCAAAGCTGAACTAGGTGAATTAGATGGAATACAGCTGTTGCAGGACATGTGAGTTGTGTCCTTTGTAATCATGGAACTTACGAGCAAAGCTGTGTGAATAATGGACTATTTTTGTTTTCTGACAATTCTAAAAACATTTAGCAAAAATATTTGTAAAGGTTGTTTGAGTGTATCCAAAACAAACTGTCTTTAGGAAGCGTGTGAACTGAAAAGCTGTCTGCCTTGCTTCTTTGGTCGCATGAGAAGTTCTACCTCCTTTTTTTGCATGTAATTGTTTGTCTTAATTTAATATTTCTTTATATTTTAAGTAAAAACCTTATAGAATTTGAAGTAACTTTAAAGTGGTTAATGAAAAAAGTACATATGTGTTGGTCACCAGCTGTTATTACAAGCCTTCCACGTTACTTCATAACCTGAGGAGGCTTTAGGCAGCCAAACAGGGGCTCTATGGGCCCTAAGTGCCCCTCCAAGTCTTGTAAAACCAAGCCATGATCTTGCCCTCTCATCTCTAATGCTACATGGAAAACAAAACATGCTACTATTTGGCCTCCTAACCACAGGTGCAAACCACTGCAGATCTTGAGGGTGTTTTGGTATAACTCCATTAAAAATGAACAATGGATTAAAAAAAAAAAAAGAAAGAAAGTCAGAATCTACAGAACAAAACCTCATGACATAAAACCCACCCCATCCCCATCCCTTTCCTGTGGGTATCAAGTGTGCAGTGCTTTAAATCCGTGCCTACTGCAACTGTTAGGAGTGGCGGAATACTTTTACTTCTCTATTTATTTATTTCAATGGTCTTTAAGCCCTGCACAGAGCTGGCTGTGGGCTTGTGAAAAAGAGTTATCAAAGCCTTGGCATGGCGTTGTTTTGTTCTGCTTTTCAATGCAATTTTATCCGTTCCTGCAGCTGGCTGTTCCTCTTTTTGCAGCCAGGCTCTTCGAACCAAGTGCTTAGGATAGCTTCTGGGTTGCCAGGCTGGTTAGAGATGATTGTGTCTGGCAGAATGTCTTTATGGTGTTGGTGGTAAGGGAAAACCATACGTAGTGCTATTGACTGCTGCTGGAAATCTGAAACCTGCCTGGTGCCTCGTGCCATCCGTGATCTCAGGGAAGGCGGTTCTGAAGTGGCAGCCTGCTTGGTATCAGTTTAAATTATTTTCCCCTAGAAGCCAGTGGTATCTAAAACAAACTTCAGGAGAATTTAAGACAGATAAACTCTGGGGTTGTGTTTTGCCTCAAGACTACTAGGGCCTTAAAGCACCTCTCGCCTGCAGTAGCACTAGTTGGTGAGATATCTGCCTGTAGCTGCCAAGAAAGGGCAGTAAAAGGGTGAAGAAAGGGAGAACAGAGCATTGTTTAGATATATTGGAAGAGGACACAGAGCTGGGAGGGTCTGCTGTCATCAGGAGCAAGGTGAGATGTTCCACATGCTGTCACTTGGATGCAAGTGGCAGCAAACCAGAGCCACCATGGAGCCACGTTCATAGCAGTGGTTGGATGCAGCATCCAGGTTCAGCACAGATAACCTCTGCCTTGCTCATCTGACATCCTTAAACTACTAAAAGGGCTCCTTCATTCTGAAGCCATGAAGTCTGACCCTCATACAACAAATCAGGCAGATAGAAGGGCAGTATTCTGAGAGCACTTACATTTAATGCTGCTCTAACAAAGTCACCTTTGGAAAGTGAAAAAGATACAAAAGTTCATAGAAATTTTCACTGCTGAGATATCAGTGTGATGTGTTTGAAACCATTTTCTTTTCACCCATCTTTCTTTTACCACGATGAATTGAGAATTCAGGATCTCAAAATACTTGGCAAACCAGATGCTGAAATCTTCTGAGATACTCTAACCCAATCCTATCAAAAGTTTGTGTTTGATCTTTATTCTCTGGGGTCCTTAATGTTTATGGATAAACAAATTCAGATTTTGAAGTGAAAAGTTGCTTATACAAAGAAAAAAATAATTTGCCCAAAATCTGAAAATGTTTCTGCAGCTTTGAGATTTTTTTTTCTGATTTTTTTTTTTTTTGTTTTTTTTTTTTTTAATTTTTTAGCAACTGGATAAAGCACCATCTAATACATTTCCGTGAAGAGTTTCAAAGTTGGTGTTTCCCAGTGGAAAAAATATAGGAGCACGCTCTTCATCTCATTCTACTTGACCCAGCAGTCCGAGCTGGGCTCCAGGAGTTGCACACATCTGAAATGAGCTGTGAGGTGCAGCCGTGCTCTCCCTGTCACTCAGGTACCTCGCTTTCACAGTTCCAAAGTGGGGCTGTGGTGTTTTTATTATGTCTAATAGTGTTTGTTCCACATGTAACTCCGTTTTGACTTTTTTCTCCCTTCCTCTCTTGGTTAGGAAGCCCGCTGCCGGGGCACAGCTGTGGACAGGAGCTGATGCCTGTGCCCAGCTGATGAAGTGAAGGGACCGTGTGCTGCTGGCTCTGAAGTGAAAACAATCACTCTGAAATCTCAGAGCTTCCTCAGAAATGTAAAAAAATGGGGTGGGAGCACCAGTTAATTGTGCTTTTACACACTGTTATACTTGTCACCGTGCCAGACTCTACATTTCTTCCAAGGGTGAAATGAAAACTCCAAATTCATGTGGTTATGAAACAATTTCAGTCTGAGCACTCAGTGAAGAATTATAAAGTGGGAAAGACACAGTCCTGTGTCTCAGCTGGTTGAGAAGGCTCTGAATTGATCAAGGCTTCTTCCAGCTTGGAGGAGTTTTCTGGAGTGTATTGAAAACATTCTGCATCTGCGTATTGAATGCAAATAAAGTACTGCAGAAAAGCTGATGTGTTATGACATTACTTTGATTAGGAGATGAGACAACTGGCAGAAGGCATCGTTGTCATTCCAAGAAGTTTCATTTCTCTGCATCTAGACATTTGGGAAATGAATCTGGTTTGCCTGCTTTATACCAGAATAGATTCACACATTGCAAATATGGCAAGAACTCACTGGCACTACAAGGCACACCTAGAGATAAGATCGTGGTGGGAGACCTGGATGAGCAAGGACTGAACACCTTTTCTGTGCCTACAGTGTATGGTAACTGTTGAGTCACGGCCTGAACCACTACTGATCACTGAGGCAAGGACTGGGTGAGCTGTGAGGGCACAGGTGAAGGCAATTCTGCTGTGTGACCAAAAGGGGTGGAACACGTTCCACCTCTCCTAGACCCCATTTAAGGGCTGACTACCACTAGGGAAGGATCTTTTTCTGGGGATCCCTCCTCTGTAGAGCTTTTCATTGTGCACCTAATTTTTGGATATAGGTGAGCATTTCTTCTCTGTTTGTTCTTTTGCCATTTCTCTGCAATGCTCTTTTCAACTCTTCATTTGTTGACTGTATGTGCACTAATGCAGCTGAGATACTTGAAGGTATTTGTAAGCTTAGCTGGAGTCGGCCCTACCCTCTGTTAGTCTTGAGACTAATGAAGCACAGTAAGGTTAACTTTTATGCTTCCCTTCTCTGTGCTTCCATGTGCTTCTTTGAGACTGGAAGTATGAGGTCAGTCCTGATCAGCATCACTATGAAAGGAGAACCAGTTCAAAATAACAGTCTCATTGGACAAGTAGTGTTTTGTTTATTTCTGTTATTAGAGATGGGTCAAAGTACCCCAAGACTACATCAAAATTGGAACCAATCCACATTAAAAGCTTGGGTGTGCCTAAAGTTGGCACGTACTGAACGAGTCTTGTACACACATAACTTCTTATCTTTCAAGATACTTGGCAGCCTCACTCCCACTTGGGTGCTCAGCTCCCATTGATAATGCCATGTGCTAATTCAGGCATGCAGGCTTCCATATAATGTTCTTACTCCTAAGAACAGTTGGTCTTGGGGGAAAACAGTTACACAGATGACATTATTTTCAGGAAAATGAAAAGTACTGGGTGAAAAAGGAAGTTTTGACACTGTGTGAGGTGTAGAGTTTACACACAGTAGTTTTTGTTGCATGTATGTAAATGGGTGATTTACCATATTTAAATAAAATACATTTATACACCATTGGTGTCTAATTTATGTATTTGTAGGGATAAATGGAAACCTTGGTTTGAAAAGCAGTTTGCATAACATCTGGTATGTCAGCAATGCAACCTTCCAATTTACTCGTTGGTGAAAATGTCGATAGAATGAACCTGTACTCAGCATTGGTTTACACAGATTTCCTGGCAGACAAAGCAGTAATGATTTGCACGTCAGTGTAAGTGACGTGTGCCCTCCAGTTTTGAGGCGTTTACACAGCTCAGAGGTATAAAAAGAACGGAGCACATGGCTGGTTCTTTGCAGACGTATGCTGGCAACACAAACCCCTCGTATTTGTGAAGTGTGAAACGCCATCTCATTCCGACTTCCAAGTTTTCAGAAGTGACTTGATTTTTCACTGAAACTGCTTCTTTGGTGTTTCTGGGTTTTGTGGACACAGGTAAAAGGATAAGAGTACAAATATAGACCCATAGCTTGCTTAAACTCTCGTAGTATGCAGTCTATGAGCATATTTGTTCAATTACTTTTATGTGCTTTCTTTATGCAAATATTCTGTACTGGGATATGAGAGAGGAACCTACTGAATTCTTGATTGTTATTAATAGTATGACAAGAGAGATGACAACATTGGGATATTACTTATGCCTTGCATATTGCCTGTACCAGATTGGTCACATAAATCACTGCTGTTATTCATTGTTTGTAGAACCGAATCACAGAATGGCCTGGGTTGAAAAGGACCACAATGATCATCAGTTCCAACCCCCTGCTATGTGCAGGGTCACCAACCAGCAGACCAGGCTGCCCAGAGCCACGTCCAGCCTGGCCTTGAATGCCTCCAGGGCTGGGGCATCCACAACCTCCTCAGGCAATCTGTTCCACTGCATCACCACCCTCTGGGTGAAGAACTTCCTCCTAATATCTAACCTAAGCCTCCCCTGTCTCAATTTAAAACCATTTTCCCTTGTCCTATCACTATCCACCCTTGTAAACAGTTGCTCTCCCTCCTGTTTATACATTCGTTTCAAATATCAAAAGGGCACAACAAGATCTTCCTGGAGCCTTCTCCAAGCTAAACAAGCCTAGTTCTCTCAACCTTTTCTCATAGGAGAGGTGCCCAGATCTGGACCTGCTCCAAGATCTCCATGTCCTCCCTGTACTGGGGGCCCCAGGCCTGGACACAGAATTTTAGATGGTGCCTCACCAGCTGAGAAGAGGTGGGCAATCCTCTCCCTCTGGCCACTCCTCTTTTAGTGCAGCCCAGAATGTAGCTGGCCTTGCAGGCTACCCACACTGTCTGGTTTTGGTCTGATTAGAGTGGTGTATGTCTATATGGGTAAGGGGAAGTCTTTTTTTCATCTGTTGTTGCCTAATAGCTTTAAAAAAATGAAAGCCACACATGACCCCATGCTTGCAGCTAGGAAAGAGGCGCTCCAGACCTGTGGTGCAGCACTCGTGCCCTGCAGTCTAAGCAGATCCCGACGTGCTCTTGGATTTCCCAGGATTCGATAATCTGATTTCTCTTTTAATCACTTCTTTAAGAACCACATTAGTTGGGCAAGCTGTTATGGTTGTCGGAAGTTTAAGGAAAAGTTTTTATTGAGGCATGGTGTGCTTTCTGTGGCTGTCTGTAGCAAAAATGCCGATTCACAGCTTGAAGCAGTGATTGAGCACCTGGCGGGTGGGAAGGCAGGGCCAACCCAGGAAAGCTCAGCTGCATGCACTGTAATGCAGTGACTGGAGGGGGTGGAGCTAGGATCCATTTAAGGGTTAGAAGACCTGATTTAAGGGTTGATAGTGAAGGCAAGGGTATATTGCTCCCTTTATACCCAAGGCCTTCTGAAGGTAAGCAGCTTGTTTCCTTTGTTTTTGTTCCTATGGCTGTTGCATTTGAGCAAATCCTTACTTGCTACAGCTTAGGACTCTTGCTGTTCTGCTGTCACTGTTGTGCTTTCTATCATATTACAATGTCAAATGAACACGTTCAGTGTTTTATCTAGCAGATAACATGTGTATGAAACTGTCCTGAAAGGAGAAAGTCACTGTAAAACTCATAGGAGAAGGAAGAAAGTGATAGAGAATATTGGCTAAGAGAAAACAAGGCAGGATGGGAGACAGCAGATGAGAAGCTGATGTATTTCTAGAAAGGTAGTCACAGAGTGGAGGTTGTCTTGTCCAACCCTGAAATGCTGATATATAATGAGTACTGATTGCATGGAAGAAATATAACTGAGGACCTTAGTGGCTTTTGCTAGTTTTTTAGTGCACCTAACCATTAATAACAAAACCCCTACAAATATGTGAAGGCACTGAGGTTTATTTATTTACTGGCTGCGCAGTGTGGGGTTCCTGCAGAGCTTTCCCTCCAGCTGTGATGGCTCTGGACCCTGAAGGCAGAGCTCTGAAACACTGCGTACAACACAGAGCATTACTGGAGTTCTGGGCATGCTGCCCACCGCATTAAAATCCAATTGAGTTCTCACAGGTCGTGCTGCTGGCCTAGCTGGTACCTTTCAGGGTCTTTCCTCTTTCTCCTCCTTTTGCAGGGTGTTTGTTCTCTTCCTTCGTGTGCTTTGGAGGATGAGGTCACATCTGAGTTGGAGCCCTAATCCCATTGAGTTTCTTTGCTCTGTAGCCAAGACCTGCTCAGCTCTCTTTCTCTCTACTGTATTTTCCCTGCAATGTCAGCTTGCTTTGCTCCTTGTTTACACAGATGGAGGCTACACGTTTAACTGTGAAAACAAAAGCACATAACTGCATCTGCATAACTTCGGCACGAGCGTGCGGCCTCCTCTCGTGACCCCTGCTTTGTCAACGTTAGGCCAGATTTCAGCTTTGTGGCTTTGGACTCCTGGAAAGCTCTGAAGCCCTTCAGCATGCACTTGACCACTCTCTTTCATTTTAATGCTTGTTTATCTTTACTGCTTTTCATATCTCTCCTGTGAAGACAGGCTGTGAGTTGGCCTTCTTCAGCCTGGAGAAGAGAATGTTCTGGGGAGACCGCGCTGCAGCCTTTCAGTGCCTGAAGGGAGTTTATAAACAGGTGACAGAGTGACTTTTTGCATGGATGATAGCGATTAAACAAGGGGGAATGGTTTTAAAATAAGAGAGATTTAGGTTAGATGTGAGGAAACTCT